TGAAAACTCCTGGGCAGTCCTAATCCTAACCTCAGGAACAAGGTTACCATGCGACTCAACTACTCCAGTCCAGTTAACATCCAAACTAAATCTATCGGAAGCTCATGTCATCTGCCTTGAACCCCACAGAGCTCTCTTCTTTTGGCCTCTCTGGGGTCCAGCCTCTGTGAACGTTTGGACAGATGGTCCTTAACACGAGGAAGGTTGGTTTACGAAATTGTACATTTTCAGCCTAACAAAATAATCGACTTCAAGGGTCTTGGGATTCTTAGAAGTTGGGTTTTCCGTGATGTTTTAGTCCTGGGGAGACACACAGTGGTTTCTAAATGTGAAAAGGTAGTAGAATAAATGGGACTGTCATCTGAGTAATTTGGGGGTTTTATGCTGGATCAAGATGGGAACAAAACGTGAAATTGCTGTCATAACTTGCATATCAGCCTCTCTTTGTCTATTTATTGCGTTTGTTCCAGTAATGACTCAAGAGTAAACATGGACAGGGTCTCACTTATCATCGTACAAAATTAAATATATAGCAATGTATATTGTTGCTTTTTTTAGTGCTTTATATCCAAAGTACACTTGGAGGCTCTCTCAGGTACACGTTGTCCTGCTTGCAGCCAGCCAGTCAGGGAGATGATCAAGAATTCTGTGCTATGCAAAACCGACATTCTGAAAACATTGTACCTCCTAAGCATTAGTTTGAAAGCAACTTACCAGCATGGAGACCTGTATATCCTCAAATAAGAAAGATCTTACTTGCAAATGGGGAAGTAAAATGATATGAAGTTTAGGACAAACTCTAAATGACCAGAATCATTCTCTTTAGTGCAGGTCAGCATAATCCAAGGAAGTTTTAGGTTTAAAAATTCTCAACAACACCTTGTGTGGTGTGGTTCTTCAGATCCACCATGTTCAGATTAACACTTGATTGATCCTCCTGGAAGGGTCACTACAATGGGAATAAAAACCTCACTCACTGCTGCTCAGGCAAATTTTCAGAATACTTGTTTCTACTTTTGAAAAGACAAGACAGTTGCACGGGGACAGAAATGATACTGGCAAATTGCTGCAAGGAAACCACCTGACCAAGGGTGCAAGACTCTAAGACTATTTTATTGCCAATGTCACTGTCAAAACATGAATACTGTTTCCAACTCTCCTGTTACTGGGCATCTCCTGAATAGTCTAGTACTTTCAAAATTGCTTTGAAAGATCTCAGCCTTAGGTACATTTTTTGTCTCCCTCTGTAAATGTTTAATTACTGGCTCACAGCATAATGTCCAGTTGACACAAGCATGCACACATCCTGATGTCTACATTTCCATTACCTTATAGTCACACAACACTTTGTGAATGCTGTTAGAAGCTATTTAAATGTTTTGCACCACATCAAAATCACTGTGCAGCATGTTGAGTGTTTTCACAAAGATATGCAAAAATCCATACAGTCACAACCTCATAGTGCCTGATAATTTAGATGCAATTTAATAATACTGTAAATGTATTGATATATATATGAAAAATACTTTTTAAAACCCTCTCAAAATTCAGTAATCCACTTTATAGAAATTGGACTTACAGAAAAGATATTCCCGCATAATGAAATATAACAGTGCTTGGTTGGAAATACTTATGCTGCACTGTAACTCTAAGCTCTGCTGGAGTATGTAAGATTTTATCAAGACATGTCAAGTAAATTGTTCGTAACTGGATCACAGCAATGCAGCAAATCTAAATCAAGATTAAAAACACAGCAGAATGCATATAAAACCTCCACAAATCTGCCTGAGAGGTACTTGCAAGTGGTTTGTTTGGATGTGTGATATCTTGTTCCATTTTTAACATTTTCAGCAGAAAACAAGCTAAACTCAGCACTCAAAGGTGAAAAGAAATGTGAAAGTACTTATCAGATGATGAACATGCGGAAAAGATGGCACCATCTCCGGTTTTGCTATTATTAAAATCACTGTTTCTGCAGGGAGTCAACTCCTGTGCAACAAAGTCTTTCAGCATATGCCAGCATTTTAGCACCAACCAGTTCTATTCCTGATTAATGAAACATCTAGTCAGTTCTAACAGAATTTAAATATGTATAAAAATTGTAAGTTTAAGTGAGTTGCTCAAAGCCACTGATCTTCTGGCACAGAATTTAACATCACCTGAATGTAAATGTCATAAGTTAAACAGAAGCTGACTTCTTTCACTCTGGGGATTTTAACATTACTCATACAGCACTTAGTTTGAGATTACTCTACTGAAATTAATCAGTTTTGCTATCAGTTATTCATGATGCTTAAATTTAAAATTTAAATACAAAAAAACCACCAACTCCTCAACATATTTCAGTCCACTTCATAGTGAGTGGTAATTTTGTCTAATGCAGATTTCTAACTTTTAACAGTGTAGATGATACTGTTTTGATCTAATTTCCACCAAAACTTAGTAAGCAGCACATTGCATACTCCAAGGAAAATGCTGTATTCCTCAAAGGGTAGATTATCAAAGTACTTCATAGCTCTAATTATAGCTTTCTGGCATTAACAACCTAGAACACAAATGACATCCGTTGGATATTTGTTAATTATGTTTTTGAATTGCTTATGGCTACAGTGGAGGATATATTCCAGGCTCTGATTTCTATTAATAGATGCCTGCTTTGGAAAGCATAAAACTCCCTCTTTCCTGTCCAACCCCTCCATAGCTAAGACAGACAGTCACCTTCTTTTAAATCACCTACTCTCAATAAAATACAACAAACTGCTGCTCTCCCATATGTAGGGAATATCCATGTGGATGCACAATGTGTAGATCTCTAAGTTTTGTGAAATGGTTTGTGAGCCCTTAAAAAATGCAGAACACTAATTAATCTGAGACAGTAGTTGTATTTAGTGCTTTCATGGACTTCAGTGTTCTGTAATCCTTTAGGAATAGGTGAGGTTCAGTTCAAAGGGATGCTTATCATAGCTATCTGAACACACTGAGATTAGACCATACTGTAAACAGCATAAAGTGAACTTTCTTACTAGGCATCTATTAATTTCTCTTTTGATCACTCGGAAACAATTCAAGTGCAATCAGACCCCATACCAAAACCTGGAACTGTGGAGCTATAATATTTACACAGTCTTTTGATAACAAATACTGAATTTCAGAAAGTTCTGACAAAAGCTCATGTCTGCTTTTGTTTTGCCTCTTCAGCTTTACTGAACTGACTGAATCTAAAGAAGGACCATATGCACGTAAGATTTCTCCCCAGTTTTAGGACCACCAACAGCTAGTCCATATGACAGGAGCACAGATTTTCTCTTCCACTATCACTGTTAAGTCCCCTCTGCTTCTACAACTGTGAGGAGGAAGACGCATAGTAAAGTACCTGTTTCCCCATGAGTGTTTCCAATAGAAAATACAAGATATATTTTGAAAAGTAAGAAGATGTAAATGAGACCTGAAAATGCTGTGGAATGATCTCTTCAGGAGATGGAATATTGCTACACCAAAAGCAGATATTTTAAAGTTCACAGTAGTCATAAAATATTATAATTATGATATAAGTAATACTATTGAATTAATTGCTCTTTTTGTATAACAAGGTGATAGTCTTTTCAGAAATCTTACCCCGTATTTTCAGAAATGTCCTTGAAAAGAACGTACTCTACGTACTCACTGTAGACACAAACATTTACATGTTGCAGCTCGTGGTAGAGATTAAAAAAAAATTCATGAAAACATATTACGTATGAATTGACAAGTTGGATAAGAATGTAAAGACTGATCCAGGAACATGTATCTGCCACTTTTGGCATGGAATAAGCCTGACATTACACCTGCCCTGGCTAGGTGAAAGATTGTCTGGATATGAAAAGGCAGAACAAACACTGACAATGGGACTTTCATGTGAGAGGCTGGAGAACTTTGTGGTGTGAGGGTAGGGCAGATAGAAATATCTGCTCAAATGCGCTCTCCAAGGGCAGAACACCAGTGCCAGTCAAACCCTAGATGAGAGACGAGACAGGGGGAAATCTACCATTGCAGGTTTTGTTAGGCAAGCATGTATTGTAAATGCCATTGGGGCAGTTGATTTGTCTTACTCCAAAGCTACAGTTACATACCTTCTGAAAATCTATTTTTCTTTCTCCTCACCCTGCCCATTATTGTTCTCATGGTCTTAGGCCATTGCACTTTTTTCTTGGTCAAATTTGCCTCTCTAGGTCATAGATGGCTGTAATAACTCTACTGCTTCCTTTCAAGGGTGAAAAAGAATCAAAAGGAGACCTAGAGGTCCTGCATCTAGAGGCAAAGATTTTATTCTCCAATCATAGAATCCAGTGTAGAACAGTTCTCTTCTCATAGCCTGGGTGACAAAAGCTTCCCCTCCCCTACCCCTGCCCTGAGTCTTGATGCAAGCCCCACACATCTCATGGGTTGTGTGCCAGCTCCCTCATTTTGCAAACTTTTAGAACTTTGCTGGCCTATCTGCTCTCCACAGCCAGCAGAAGGAGTTAGGACCCTTTGGGAGGTGACTGGAACTTGACCAGGCCAGTTGCCTTCTAGAAATTCTCTCCCCACCAGTTTCAGACCGACTCTGGGAAGACAAGGCCCATCAGCTGAACAGATTCATTAATTTCCTGTGAACCGAGGCTTCTGTGCAGCACCATAACTGATTTTCCTCAGAGAATAGGATTGCAAAACTGAAGGGCTCTTGGAGTTAACCTTTAACTCGAATGACTAATCCAGTGTTTTGTATACCCAGGGCAGGTAAGCTCCTAGTGTTCCCATCAGAAGAGGAAGACAAGGTGCTTTGGCACAGCCGGGTTGTAGGATGTTGGCACTGGAAGGTAGTTTAAATGGGAGCTCTGGAAGAGGCTGTTCTATTCCTGTCTTTGGGCAATTCCCATTTGGGCTAGTCCTGCATAGCAGAAATGAGGTATCAAAGCAGCAAATTTATTCACTGAGAATGGCTTTTTCCCTGCTAAAATTTATGTTTATACTCTGTAAACCAGGAGGTGAGGAGCAAAAGAAAGACTTGGCTCTTACTAACCGTGGGGAGGGAGAAGGAGGAAGCAAAGGAAGAAAAAGAACAGCCTTATCCTGGCAAGAAAACAATGGTGAGAGGGAGAGGAAAGAATTTTCCCTGCATACTTTCCCAAGTTGGAACACCACTGAGGAAGCATCTGAGTTACTTCTCTGAAGGTTGTTTGCACCCTTGAATCTTTGGCAATAATTTAATGTACAAAGCAGTTACTCCCGTATTTACCAGGCAAGAAAAACTGAAGTACAGCATTTCTTTTGTGAAATTAGGAGGACAACAAATTATTGACCCAATTAGTCACATGGCTTATAATATTTTATATATATAATATATATGGCTTATAATATTTTTGTCAAATATATAGAAGTACATATGTAATTTTCTAATGTTGTACTGCCTAAATCAGAGTTGCTGTCATAATTAATTCATCTTTAACTAAAGAACACCTACTTTCCTGTATATATAAGTAAATAAATAAGTAAAAAAAAAAAAAAGTATAAATAAGTAAATAAATAGATTTTCAGTTTGCATTTCAGCAAACTTTTCATGCAAGAGTGCTATGTATCCATAGTTCCCATGAACTACAGGGATACATTTCAATTAATGTATTGTTATGATGAAACTCTAGAGCTATTTCTGAAAATCCACTATTTTGAGAAATGCTAGTTCATGTTTTAGAAAATAAATCTTAGGAAAATAAAACTGGCATCAAGATACTAATTTACAAACCCACTAACCAGACTCAGAACAAGACAAAAGAGTGTCTACTACTAAATCAGTCTCCAAACCTGACAAGAATTTGAATAGAGGTTGCAATATTTCAGTGACAGGGCAGGACTAAAATAAACAGACTGATTACACATTTTGATCTTGTTTTGTGGGTTTGGGTTTTTTTGGGAGAGTTGTTTGTTTGTTTGTTTGTTTGTTTGAAATAATAAATTAGCTAAGCATTTCAGCTGCATTCAGTGTTCATCAATTACATTTAAAAAAGCAGCACAACATCAATGTAAGTTAGAAACAATTACATCAGAGAACAATGGAAAAATGATCCAGTAGAATCTAAGGTTTTTCTCAGTACTGTGTTTTCCCCCAATATCTGCAGAATGACTTGACTGTTAAAAAATAGGACTGAAATCTGACCCATGTCCAAGTCAGAATGCAGGTGAAGAAATCAAGAGTGCCTTCAATTGTGTATGTGAAATGTTTATCATTCAATATGACATTAGCCAGATTAAAAACAAGAATTTTGGTACATCTGGATAGTACAGCAACAGCTGCAAAAATTTAAAAGTTAGTATGTACTGTAACATGTTATCCTGGATTTCTAAACTTTCTGCCTTTAGCCCCGACCTTTCCTTCCTGTGCATATTGGATAAACAGAAAACGCAATCTGTACTGTGAACTCTCAGTGAATCACATTTGTATTCATGAGTCAGTTATCTTAAAGGAATATTCATTTAACCACTAAAATATTATTTATCAAAAGACTAATTATTTTACAGAACTGTAAGGACTATATTGTGTGAAGTATTCATAGCTAACACAACAGTTTTAATGCATAGTTATTTTCTAATTTCATTGTCTTCAGTGGTAAAAACATTACGTAATGTTTGAAAGTCACCCTGGTTTCTTCAAGAAAAACCATTCATTTTCTTTGAGAAAAATTGAAATATTATGGGGTTTTAATCAAAAAACAATTTAATGAAATATCATCAGAAATCCAGTTGAAGATGCAAATGCATGAAAACTGATTAGATTATTAAATCAAAGTTGCAGTTTTCACAGAGCACTGTTAAGTACAAGTTTTCGGGTAATCTTACTAGGGAAGGCCTTTCTAGTGTCTTCTATATATTTAATGACACCTACATTTTAGTTATGGTAATAATTCATAAGTAGACGACCATTTAATTACATCCAGTTGCCAAATGCTTGAGATGTTAACACTTCATCAATCTGTTGACGGAGAATCAAGGAATGATTGGAGTGACAAGCACTGCCTTCCTAAACGTCATTCTCAGCATTTACCTGTTTTACTTGGTCAAAAGGAGAAAACACCTGCTTTCCTGTTGGAACATGAAAGTAGGTGCATTAATATCCTACCTATACAGAAATAATTGTCAAATTAGCAAAGTAATGGTGGCATCCATATTCTATTAGTAGTAGAAATCTAGAAAAAACCCTCCATACTTTTTTGTCTAATATTACATTTCTGAAGTGTCAGTTTCCCTTCAGACAAAATATGCTGTGTGTTATTTCCTGCAAAAGCTGTAATTAGAATTTAAAATTTACCAAAAGTTTCCCCCAAATCATACACAGAATTTTTTTTTATATTTAATACAGGAACAAGTTACAATGCCTGTGGATGGATCAGAGTATATGTTCACCTGAGGAGTGAAAAACTCATATGGGAAAAACCCCATATGAATCATTAAAGAATCTGCAATGGAGTTCAGTCTGCGGCTCACAACTAGGTTCAGTTGCTAGAAAATTAAATGCAGAGAAATTCTATGTAAATATCATTACTCAATTCTATTTCCAGTTTCCATCAAATACATTTCTTTCCCAAAAAAAAAAAAAAGAGCAACCAAATAAATAACCTCAGTCACAATACTTAAACATGTCTGGTGAGAGGTGAAGTATTTCAATCCATATCTCTAAACCTCCTCATTTGTGTCCATATATTTTACCTTTTTTTTTCTTTTCTCATGTACTAAAACGTAAAACAAGGGATCTCTTTTAGCAATCCACCTCTGTTTGGCATGTGTCTTAAACAAACTGCTTGATCTTAGTGAACCTGAACAAGTTGAATGCTAAATGAATTCTTCAGTGGCTTGCTGAATAGCAAAGGAGATAAACACATACTTATATAATTTGCTAAGTTGGGTGACCAGCTATGTATATAATATAGATATTCAACTGAATATTTATTCCAGTACAGTATAGGAGATAAAGCAGTTTTTAAAATTCAGTGGCCTAGAGGAGTACTGAAAACTGTAATCTGGGATGAGATACTTTTCAACCTGCTAAAACTCCAGCTGTATTGTTGGATGAAGGCCAAGAGGAAAGACAGAGCAGAACAAGACAAGGAATATAAAACAGAGTACTAGCCATCATTTTAGGAGAAACAATCAGATAGGGATCCAGAATTTCACTTGTAAATGAGACAAGATGGGCGGAATGGTGGCAAATCCTTGTCTATGTCTTTGCTGTGGAAGGTGACTGATCACACAAGGAACAAGGTTTTGTCATTACAGGGCCAAAATGGAGGACAAAAGTAATGAAAATCAGTTATCATTTCTGTTACAAAACAAAACAAAAACATTCTTTGAAGACATCATACCATACAGGGTATAGGAGGAAAAACTGCTGCTTACTGACAGAGTAAAGACATAAGAAGGAATACTGAGCACTGCAAAAAGACAAATTTAATTATTTTTGCATTTTGATGTTCCAGCTGAGAAGGATAACCAGATCTCACAAGTAGAGGATGTGCAGGGACAGCTGCAGGACAGTATTTCTGATGCATTTTCTTCAGCCACTGAGAAGATGAAGCAGTGCCTAGGATATTAATTCCCTTTGACATAAATGCACGATGACAATAGGCTGTGACATGTGGGGGTTATGCTTCCCATATGTTTTTTGACACAGTTGAAGTAGTTATTTTTGAAACTGCATAAAACAAATTTTACAATATGACATATGGGATAGGAATGAGCTGTAGCTACAGTAGAAGTTCTCCCTCTTGGTCTAAATGAACTGCTTACAGGACATTTTGAAAATATGAACCAGTTAGTTGACCAAAGCAGGAGCAAGTCGGTCTCTGTTTTGCTGGTGCTGTAGGTACCTTTCATTAAGGGGGAAGAAAATGGAAAGAGTAGATTATCTTTTGAATATTTCTACCAGAATTTCCATCCAATTTTGTGTTGCCAGTTTAGTTTCCAAGTATTTATAAAGATACCTGATGTCCACTTTTTCCACCAGCTATCTCTGAATAGAGGTGTTTTCCTAGGAACAAAAGTAAGATAATGCAAACATCATCTGGAAATCTTAAGTGACCTGTGCCAGAAGCAAGCAGGGAGAAAATTCAGATAGCAATTAGTACACTGATTTGGTGAGAAATTCTTTCTAATCCTTGTTGAGAGTTCACATATACTTTGACAGAAACAGATTAGGAGCTTTTAAAAAAAAATCTTCCTCTGCCTGGAAACTGCTGATGTGTTGTTGGTTATTTGAATGGCTCTTCCCTTCTTCCCACCTACTTAAGTCTATGGCATCTGCATAAATGACTTTATTACGCTGTATGCCATTATTTTTAACTTAATTGATTGTCCCATTCTAGTGGAGTGGTTGACTGTAGCCCCCTGTTTTCCCTTTTCCAGTACCTTATGGCATTTTGCACACATATGCTAAGCCCTTTCTTATTTGACCTCTCTGAAAAAACACAGCCTTTTCAGTTTCTTATTTTTCCACTTCTAAACACTTTCATTTCTCTCAAACTGGAGCTTTTTGTCTACTTCTTTTTTCTTTTATGCAAACTAATCAATCAGAACTGTCTGTATGATTTCAAATGGAGATGAGTGACTGATTGATTATTATTATTATAACAATTTCATAGAATAATAAAATTATAGAATTGTTTGGGTTGGAAGGGACCAAAATGACCATCTTTTTTCAAAAACCCTGACATGGGCAGGGACACCTTCCACTAGACCAGGTTGCTCCAAGCCCCATCCAATCTGGCCTTGAACACTTCCAGAAATGGGTCATCCACAGTTTCTCTGGGCAACCTGTACCAGGGCCTCACTACCCTCACAGGTTTTATCCCTTTTTTAACTGTTACAGCATCATGATGGGCCTTTCATCATAATTTTTTTTCTTTTGAATCATTCATGCTTACTTAGCTGAATGTACAGCTGTCTTTACCAATGAATTTTCATAAACATTAAATTTCCTTAGATGTCCTGGGGACCATTCATTCAGGTCACCCTGATCTTATCCTGGGGAAAAAAAAGTTCAAAAACATTTTTAATGATAGAAAGAAAAACATTTGGATTCCAGCCCTACATAAAGTTCTTTTAATAGAACTTCAGTATAATGATTTTCAGAGATTAGCGATAAACTCTTTGAAAGGATGCAGGTGAGTCACTGTGTTAGCATTTAAAGACTTAATAGCATATACAAAAATACCCCAAGAAAAAAGAACACTTGAATATTTAGCATTGTTCAGGAATACAATATACAGCAACTTATCCTGGCAACATATCTTTAAAAGTTACACAAAGAACCTACAACTAATATCTATAATGCAGTCTGTAGTTCTAAGTCTGAAAGCAATGGAAAAACAAGTACATTGCTACAAACGTGCGTTTTCAGCTTCCACTACTTATAAGATTATAATGGATTTGACTGCCTCTGCTATTAATAATTTCCCAAATGAATCTGTGGGTGGAACAAAAATGTGGAAATGAAAACTGAGAGGGTATTGTATGTTCAGGATAATCCACCTCCACTCTTATACAGTAGATGCAATTTGAGCTGTCATCTTTCTATGCCTTAGTTTTCCCATTTGTGAAATGGTTCGTTTCTACTAGATATCTTCTACTACATTAATTCCTTTTTATTCCCACACTAATTTCCTGTTCTGAAAGTGAAAGGAGAAAAATAATTATGAAAAGTGCTTATGAACAAGCTTACCTGATTCCCTCCGAGTGGCTGTGCTCCAAAGGTTGGGTATGTGTGTGGGACACAATTCTCCTGTGCAGACACCCTCAAAGATGTGGTAAAGATGGATCTTCCCTGCACGGTCCCCCAGGATCCTCTCCTCTGATGCCAATCATACACCATAAGCATCACAATTACATACTGTACCTCCCCAAGTATTTGAATATTAATTGAAATTAAAGGAGTAAGAGAGGACACTGGTGGCATATAATAGAAGTAGTGTAATCCTCCTTTCCCATCACCTTAACTTCCTGAACATTTAAACTCTACAAACTCAAAAAGTAACATGAAAAAATATATAATGAATGGATAAACAGCACTTTATGCTGCTGGCATAAAGAGACATTTAGTTTATCATATCGGAGGAGGATATTAGATTTCCAAATAATTAGACTTCTCCCTCCAGTCTGAACCACTTAGTTTAAGCAGATATTTTACTCTACTTTGCCAAATAGCTTTATGGTACCTACCAGAAAGACTCTGAAGCTAAATTCTTCTTAGATTTCTGACCACCTTAGAAAACATCCTAGAATTAATTAAAATCTGTCTTTCTGGCAAATTCAGTAGTAGAAATGAATGAAAAATTCTTTCGTTGCAGGGACATGTAGCACACATGAATCTCTTTGGCAGTGCCTGCTCCGGTTCCCACTCTTAAAATGCATGTTAGAACTTCTGTTGATGAGTGGTAGATCCCAAATCTGACTCAAATTGATTTAACTTCTATAAGGTCAGCATACAAAACTTTGCAAGTTTAAACTGCTGTAAAGCTACATATAAGGAATCCACTGATTCCACGTGAAATAATGCATATAAGGTATCATGGAGACATGATTGGCATCAAGTGACATCAGGCAGTAACCATGAAAAACTCTTTAATAAACGCTCAAGCTGATAGTTACACTTTAGAGGCAAATCATGATAGTTTGTAACATGAGAGGCAGTCTGAACAGCTGTGGTCAAAAAACAGTAAGATAAGTCAATATGAACCTGTCAGCATCACTTGGGCTACAATGGCTGTGAAAGCAAAATGCCATTCTACTAATTTCTGTAGTTTCCATTAGTTCTGGATTATTGTTTACAAGCATAAACTTAATTTGAAAGACTAGGATTTTCTAGGTTTGCTGCCTTTTTTTTTTTTTTTTGAGAAAACTGTGTTATAGTCCTCAGATGGATCAACGTTTAAATCATCAGGTATGTCCCTGGTGTATAGCTGAGCTCTGTGTGCATCTGCTTGCTGAGATCACGTCTCTGGCATCCATGCTGGCGAGACCCAGGGAGATGGAGTTGAGCAGCCTCATCTCTCCCTCTTCCAGGCTCTTGGATCCAGCAGGTTGTATTTGCTCACTTACGTGGTTTCCTACACTTCTTTTAGTCTTCTCTCCCTTCACCAACCTGTCATTAAACAATAAATAGTGATAGATGGTTCCTCGTAACAAAAATGCAGGAAAAAGTGTCTAAAATAATACATTATAATAAGGCAGGACAAAAACTAAGAGTTTTCAAAACAGTGAATGAAGTAGTCAGGTGAAAAAAAAAACCCTACAAAAGGATGACTGTACCATAAATGATTGGTAACTTCCACTCCATTTCAATAATGAGTGTTTATAGAACATGAAATAAAAAAAATATTAACGGACTGACTGTCATAATGCA